GTGGGGGGGGTGGGGCCAGAGGGATGCCCAGAGAGCCCTAGAGCTGCTCAGGCGCCCCGTTTGTGTGTGGGGTCTGGTCACGTGCTGAAGATGCTGAGAGACTGGGGCTGCCCAGGGGAATTCACGTGGGTTTGGGGCTGCTGCTGCCTGTCATCCCAGGCACCATGTCCCCCCGTGACATCCTTGGCTCTGGGGTGAGCGGGATGGAGACGCCTGCTTAAAAATAGCATCCCCGGGCTGCGCTGTTCCTGCGCCCGGCTTGCTTCCCAGGGCTGACCTGACCCCGGGTGTCCCCTGCCTGGCTGCAGCTATTTCTGCCCCAGGAGCAGCGTTCCCCATGCACCCGCCTCAGCCCTGGGAGCCTGCTGTTGGGTTTACGAGCTGGTTTATAGCGCGAGGCTGGGAGATAAAACGCCAGGAGCTGGGGCCGAGGGCGGTGTGTGGTGTCCCCATCCCTGCGAGGGCTTTGTCCTGGTGTTGGGGATCAGTTGTCAGGTGACAACCGATGAGGGGGTGATGCCCAGATGGGGCTGCTGGGAGGGGGTTGTATGGGCAGGAGAGAGGCAGGATTTGCCCCAGGAGGGTATGAAAGGCTGATTTCTTTGCCTACGCCCCCGGGGTGTACGTGGCGTTGGAGCCAGGCTTGCTTTGCAGCTTGGTTGTCCCATGCTGTCCTGTCCCGCTCAGCAGCAGTCTGAACTTCAGCCTTTGGGATGGGTCTCTGTTTTCCCTGGGCACTGAAACCGCTTCCACCTCAGCTGGCGATTGCGTTAGGAAGGAGATCCCAGCCATAGAAATCCGCTCATGCTCTCTATAATTACATGCTCCTTCTTCGTCTTTAACATGATTCCCTTGCAAAGCTCTGGACTTTGTCAGCGCCTCCGTCCCCCAGGGGCTGGTTGGGATTTTAAATAATTGCGTCTGAATGTGTCTTTCGTATCTCGTCCAGCTCCCCAGGGGATATCGATCCCAAACGGTGCGTTGCATCGATCTCTGGGGCAGGATTGTGTCCTGGTCCTGGGGGCACTGCAGGACACAGATGTCCCTGCTGACAGTTGTTCTTTTCCTCACTGTGCTTTTTTGTATCTGGACCAACCCCTACTTTCTCAGCCAAACCTTAGGAATTTACTTAACATCTCCCTATCTCCCCCCAGTCCCTGTTTGCATCCGTGCTGGTTTTCCACCCCGTAGTGAGTGCCTCCCATCCAGCTGCTTGTTCCTGCGAAAGCTGGAGCTGGCCTCATTTCCCATCGCACTATTTTTACAGCAATGATAAAAGAATTGCCATAAATCACCCCATTCCTCGGCAGCTGCTTTTCTTCCTCCGGGGATGAAGATTTTGCGGTGTGTTTTGGCTCTCATTTCCTGAGATCGTTAATCACCCTCATAATCACCTGCTGGCTGGATCCCAGGGGGCCGCATCGCATTTCACCACCATCGCGAGGGTTGTGAGCTGGAAAACACCACGAGGCCCTTGCGATGGGCTGCAAGGGCTGGTTCCGGCGTGAAATCGAGCCGGGCAGAGGGATGTTAGCAGGGAAACGGGTCTCGCAGGGACCCCTGCGCCGCGCTGAGCAGATGTATCTCCTTTCCGTTTTCCCGGCACGGCTTGCAGAGCCGGGGGCCGTGCACGGGTTGCGCTGGGATTTGGAGCCGGTTCTCACGGTCGGCGGCTGCACTGCGAGCTGCCGCTCCACCGGCTCCGCTGCGCTCGTGTTTTATCGTGACTCATCCTCCCTCGTTTGCTTCATTTATTTCACTTTGCGACCAGCCCGCTTTGGCTTTGAACGCCGCGGTGGGCAGCGCGCAGCTTCCGCGGAGCATCAAAGCCCCCTGCGGCAGCGCCGCTTCGCCTGGGCTGTGCTCCCGCTTTTTCAGCCTCCTTTTTGCAGCTTTTATTTTCTCTGGGGCTGTCTCTAAGCTCAAATTCGTCTCTTCTTCATGTATCAAAGTTCTCTTTGCCGGTCAGGCTTGCTTTGAAGGTGACGTTAATGCAACTCCAGGGCATCATTAGTGAGACAACCTGTTTATCTGAATAGCCCTGGCCCCAGGTCCTCTTTGCCACCACGGCACGAGAGCTTTGTATCCTGACAAAAATAGCAGCTGAAGATACCTGGGTTCTGGCCAGGAGCCGCTTCTGCATGCAGGTGCTGTCATTAAAATCAGGTCCGTCTTTCTCCACCCTGGGGACCCGTCAGGGTTTCCTTCATTCACTTGACGGCTCCTTCCTGGTATATCCTGCGCTGGAGCCTCAAATAAACCCCAGAGCCCGCAGACTTAATTAAGAAGGTGTTACTACGACGGGCGGCGTGCCAGAGCTGTGCCTGGGAAACCGAAGCCATCTGGGTTAATTCACTGGGTGGCTGCAGGATGGCAGGGAGCTGGAGGCTGGGCAGCCGGGAAACCCCTGGGGCGAAGCCTCCCCAGCCCCTTCCCTTAGAGCCCCCCCGCGCCGCTGAGGCGGCCCCGGCACGCCGCCGCCAGCCGAGACACGCTGCTGCGAACCTCCTGCTGCCGTGCAGGAGCCAAAGCTCATTAGCAGAAATAGCTCTCTCTGGAAAGAAAAATAATCCTGCTGGCCAAGGAAAAGGCAGGAGAAGCCCCGGGTGCCTCGGGGGCCAGGGCCAGGGTGTGTTGCTCGGCAGCCGGCTCGCTTTGCAGACTTATTAGGGAAAAGATGCTTATAGAGCCGGCGATGGGGCCAGGCCGGGCAGTGGCCGCTCCCGGGCTCACGCAGCCCGGCGGACCGCTGC